GGTAGACCCTTCTTGAATACTGCAGGGCCTGTTATTGTTTGCAATAAAAGCAAGGTCACTTTTCATATCAATGGTAATGAGCATACGATGCACTCTCTGAAGAAACAATTCCAAGTGAATGGTATTAATGTTATTGAAAAGTCTCTGACAACCACTATTGGAAGTTTTCAAATACCTCTACCTACTGTCAAAAAGAAATATGAAATGCTTATTGTTGGGGAAATGCATATTCCCATTGAGGTAACTTAGTGATTTACGAAAGTTCTTCGGTTTCATGCTAACCGAAAGTGGTTTTTAATAAGACTTGATCAACCTTATTAATGTCATTTTTGAATGGTATGAAGTTGATGAATTTAGTAAGCACTACTTTCTGTCCCTACCTTTTGTTTTCTGTTTTTATTAGTTAAATAAAATAAAATTCCATGTTTTGTCTGTTTTCTGAATTCCCCGTGCAATAAAAATGACCCAAAAATAAAAATTCTCAAAATGCCCTGAAAATTTTATATGATTTTTTCCTGAATATTTAAGAATTTTTGGTGCAAAAATAACCAAAAGGTGGGTGCACTAGTTCACCAGACCTTGTTGTTTTACCTCGTGCCATTGAGGGCAACAACACGTATAGCTTGGGGGCTATCGTGGCTCATCGCCTGCACCTTAATAAATCTCAGGGCAAAATACACGGTGGGATTTATGCTACTCTCTTGGCGGCTCACTTCGAGGTTGAGATACACCCTCATGATTTCCCTCTTACCACAGTTTACCTAGACCGTGCAGCCATGGATCACCATCACTTTCTTGCACATGATCATCATGACATTGCCATTCCTTATAACTTGGTCTATAACATTGACACTCGTGATGTTATCCCCTTTCCTGCACCTGCTTTGTTTGATTCTGTTGCCAGGGGCAGATACCGGATTATGCCTGCAGACATCCTCGCCTACTGGAACGCTCAAGCTGCTGCAGAGGCTGCATAGGCACCTCCACAGTGGGATCAATGGATGCCCGCTCCTCAGCAGTGGGATGAGTGGATGCCTGCTCCTCAGGATCCATATTACCCTCCAGGCTACTGATTCCCTACCAAGTTAGGCCAAAAGCCTAAGCTTGGGGGAGTACGTGTTCTCACCGACTTTATATTCATGTTCACGTATCATTCCATTTGTCGGTGTTCACACTTTTTCATTGTATCATCCATGCTTAGATTTATTTTTCTTGCTTTCTTCTTGTGTGTTTGAAAAACTTTAGAAAAACCAAAAAACTTAGTTGTAGCCAGTTTACTTTCTATGCATGCTTAGTAGTAGCACTAAAAAGAAAACCCAAAAAGATTTCCTTGTTCTTCTTTTGCTTGTTGGGAGCTTTCCCGTGTAAATAGTTTTTCTTGTTTTTGCTTGTTGAAGAAAAAACAAAAAACTCCAAAAATATTTCAGTGTATTTCTCTGAAATTCTTTTCTTTTATTCAAGTTGTACCGAGGAGAAGACCACGATGAAAATGTTGAGTGGCTCTCACATGAATAACTGTTGAACTAATAAGAGCCCATTTTACCTTGTCTTCTCCTGTTGAATAAAATGTTTTGCAGATTCCATCTTAGTCCATGGCACTCTTGCACTATTATTTTTATCATATCATTCGGTCGTGCGAGTGAAAGGCAATAATGACGATATTCGATGAGCTTGCCATGGCAAAGAGAAACTGGTATGAACTCGACTTGTCTTGTCTGTGTAAATATGTTTAACCTAGTGCACATGCTTCAGCCCGTTATGATTAAACATGTTTGCAATGACAATTAGATATTATAGTTTCTCATGCCATGCATAAATAGCTGAGAGTTAATAATGATTTATCTTGGATATCAACATAGCGTTAAAATGATTGTGATGTAGTATGATGATATGGTATCGTCCTCTGAATGTTCGAGTGGCTTGACTTGGTACATGTTCATGCATGTAGTTGAATCAAAACCAACATAGCCTCTATAATGTTTATGTTCATGGTGTTCATATCCTACTCATGCTAGTGTCCAATGTTATTATGCATAATGCCTGGTCATGATCGTTGTTGCTCTCTAGTTGGCCGCTTCCCAATCTTAAAATTGCTAGCCTTCGCCTGTACTAAGTGGGGATTCTGCTTGTACATCAAAAACCTTGAACCCAATGTTATTCCGGATGAGTCCACCATACCTACCTATATACGGCATTACCCTGTCGTCCTAAGTAAATTTGCATGTGTCACCTGTAAAAACTTCTAAAAAGTTATCTGGTTTGTGTGCCTGGATCGTTCATGGAACGACATGAGGTGGTTGATATCTTCCGTGCTAAGCATGTTATCCTCAGGTCGAGTGTTTATTCACTCACCATCACATGAGGAAATGGGCGGTAATAGGGATGCCCAGTCCCAAACTGCAAAATACAAAAAGAGTTCATCTCTTACATAATCAAACAAAAACTCTCAGTGAAGTCAAAACCTTTACTTTCCGCTTGGGGACTGCCACTAGGATGCTTAGCATGGAAGATGTTGATAACTGATGGTCGTGAAGTGAATAAGAAGGGTGTATGTCTCAAAAAATCATTTATCTCTGTTCCAAAAACTGAGCTTTGGCACCTCTGCAAATCCCTGCTTCCCTCTGTGAAAGGACTTTCTATTTACTTTTATGTTGTGTCATCACCTTCTATAAACAAGCGCCAGAAACTGAGTAGAGCACAGCGGTCATGATTTATGCATTGTGTATAGCTAATGTTGGGTGCATCATGACTGGATCTTTTCTACCATGAATTACAATGTTTAGTCGCTGCTTGAACTTCGGAAAGGGCTAGCGAGATACCATTATTGTTATATTATATCATGATTATTTTGACAACATGTTATTGTTTGAGATATCTTATTATTGCTCGCTAGCTGATTATGTCCTTGATATGAATCATTATAATCTTTAAGAGTTATTGTTGACATGGTTAGTTATAATGTTGGCTGAAAACCTGTGTGATGTTTAAGCTTATTTATGCAAATAAGAGCAAAAGAGTTCATAAAAGTTTTTCTTTCTCACTTTCAGTTTATCAACTAAATTGCTTGAGGACAAGCAAAGGTTTAAGCTTCGGGAGTTGATACGTCTCCAACGTATCTACTTTTTCTCACGCTTTTCCTCTTGTTTTGGACTCTAATTTGCATGATTTGAATGAAACTAACCCCGGACTGACGTTGTTTTCAGTAGAACTATCATGGTGTTGTTTTTGTGCAGAAATAAAAGTTCTTGGAATTGAACGAAACTTTTTGAGGTTTTTTTATACCAATAATAAGAATTTCTGAAGCCAAGACCCACCGGAGAGGGGCCCCTGGGTGGGCACAACCCACCAGGGCACGCCCCCTCTCCTGGCGTGCCCAGGTGGGTTGTACCCACCTGGTGGCCCCGCTGATGACCCCTTGATACTATAAGTTCACATTATTCCAGAAAAAAGTTAGAAAGAAAGAATTATCACGATCCACGAGACGAAGCCGCCGCCAAGCCCTGTTCTTCCTCGGGAGGCAGATCTGGAGTCCGTTTGGGCTCAGGAGACGGGGATCTTTGATCTTCGTCATCACCAACATATCTCCATCACCAATTCCATGATGCTCCCCATCGGAAGTGAGTAATTCCTTCGTAGGCTCGCTGGTCGGTGAAGAGTTGGATGAGATTCATCATATAATCGAGTTAGTTTTGGTAGGGCTTGATCCCTAGTATCCACTATGTTCTTAGATTGATATTGCTATGACTTTACCATGCTTAATGCTTGTCATTTTGGGCCCGGGTGCCATGATTTCAGATCTGAACCGTTTATGAATTCATTATTATATCAATGTTTTAGATCCGATCTTGCAAGTTATAGTCACCTACAACGGTTATGATCCGGCAACCCCGGAGTGACAACAACCGGGCCCACTCCCGGTGATGAACGTAGTTTGAGGAGTTCATGTATTCACTATGTGTTAATGCTTTGTTCCGGTTCTCTATTAAAAGGAGGCCTTAATATCCCTTAGTTTCCAATATGGACCCCACTGCCACAGGAGGATAGGACAAAAGATGTCATGCAAGTTCTTTTAATAAAGCATGTATGACTATTTACGGAATACATGCCTACATTATATCGACGAACTGGAGCTAGTGTCGTATCGCCCTAGGTTATAACTGTCTCATGATGAATATCACCCAACAAGTCACCGATCCAATGCCTACGAATTTATCCTTATTGATCTTGCTGCGTTACTATTGATATCATCACTGTTACACTTGCTACAAATTACCGCTATCACTGTTTCTGTTACCGTTGGTACTGTCACTACTATCAAAACTATCAAACTACTTTGCTACTGATCATATTGCTGCAGATAATTAATCTCCAGGTGTGGTTGAATTGACAACTCAGCTGCTAATACCTCTTCAAATATTCTTTGGCTCCATTTGTGTCGAAAAATCTATAAATTTGGGTTGAATACTCTACCCTCGAAAACTGTTGTGATTCCCTATACTTGTGGGTTATCAAGGGGCACGTGCACGAAGACTTTCTGGCTGTCATCGGCAAGGTCAAGCCGACTCCGGTAGAGGAGCGGCGACAGCGGCACGTCGGCGTCTCGTCATAATGGCGGTAGTGGTCGTTCGGTGGTCTCGGAATCTCGATGTAATTTTTATTATGTTTGAGGTGTTTTGTAGAAGGGAACCTTGGCGCAGCGGTAAAGCTCTTGTCGTGTGACCATGAGGTGACGGGTTCGAGTTCTGAAAACAGTCTCCTGCAAAAATGTAGGGAAATACTGCGTACTATACATCAAAAGTGGTCGGACCCTTCCCCGGACCTTGCGTGCATCTAGCTGCCCTTTGAGGCGTTTTGTACTTTCGGTGAACGTTGATAATAGATCTGTATTATTTTCGCAAAATTAAAAGGAGAAAATCTTACGACAGGGGCACCTGGCGCAAGTTAAGCAGATCGAGCAACTGGACCTTTCAGTTGCACTGTTAGTTGAGTTTCTGCGCTGTTTACTTGAGTGCCAAATTGTCCAAGCACATAGATTCCCACTGCCACTGGTTTCCACAGCAATCACCATCTGTCGACCAAAACAAGACCAGAGTTCCCAACCAAAAGAACAAGACACAGCACGTACTACTACTACTGCAGCAGCATTGATGGGAAAGATGTCACAAACAGAGGCAGGCAGCTAAAGTTGCGACAGAAAGAAATGACAGAGATTGTACTCGTATTGTCTCGTGACCTTACAGTGCAGCAAGGCACAAGAGTCTAACAACAACAGCACCAACATGTACCGTGCAGATGCGATATGTCCCTTGCCGACAACCACAAGGCCGTGGCCTCCCTATGGCAATGGCCAAACATGAAGAAGCCGATCGAAACATGGAAGAAACTAAGAACAAAACTACTTGACAAGTACAGTACATCACTGGTATATGTTTATATCCTACTGTATAGGTACATGGAGGACCTGATCAGCCAAGCCTCTTCCATTGCACACCTTCTGAAATCAAATCCAGGCAGTTCAACCGTGCCTGGTGATCATTGGGAAGATGGTCTTGGAGCTGCATCATCAGATAAATTAAGAGGAGACGTTAGTAACTTGGTACTTATCAGATGCTGATGGTAGTTGTAGGACATGATCTTAGATTGTTGGTTCCTTACCTAGGTTGACGGCCTCGGAGCTCTTCATGAGGCGGATCCGCTTGCAGGACTCGACGAACATCCTGCATTGACAAGATTTGAATCAGATTAGCACATATGTTCGCGGAAACCTCAAATCTGCAAGAACTATGGCTAGGGGATTGATTTGCTTACTTCCAGGGGACGTCTCCGACGAGCATCCAGTCGCCGTCCCTGTCCTCGTAGGTGGGCACGTACTCGGCGCCGGTGGCCGCGTCCACGAGCCTGCTCCCGAGCTCGCCCTCGCCGCGGACGGCGAGGCACGGGGCGAACATGCCGTGGAGCGCGCGGAGCAGCACCTCGTACCCGCCGTGCGCGGCGAGGTCCACCTTGCGCAGGTAGGGGGCGCCGTCCACGGCCACCTTCACGAGCTTGCACGCGCCCTCCTCCCGCAGCGCGTTGCGCCGGTAAGCCCGCACCGGAGGCCACCCCACAGCGCGCGCTCTGTCAGTCAATCATCGCACGCACCAGGTCAGAAACCATCCACAAGACACAAGACTACGTACACATGACCAGCTCGCCGTGCGACGTGCGAGAGGCGGGGAGGGCAGGAGAGAGAAGGCCGCGTACTTTGGGGAGGGCGGCTTGTCGTGCTCGTCGTGGTGGGCGCGCTTGCGGTCGTCGGAGGAGGAGCCGGGGAGGGCGAGGGTGAGGGCGGTGTCTTCGTAGTCGAGGCCGGACACGGCCGGGGACTCGGCGGAGTTGGTCGAGCTCGTCGACATCTGCTTGCGCGCGCTGCTTGAGCTGAGCTCCCAGGCTGCTTCGGCCGGACTCCGGCGATCGCTGGCGCGAGTCGGTCGGTTGATGCGCGGTCGCTAGCTGGCTCTCGTCGGCTGGTTGGTTGTGCGGTGCGTCGTCGGTCACTGGCGTGGTGTGCCGTGGGAGAGAAGGAGGATATGAGGAGGAGGAGGATGGGTGGGATGTGGCCGCGCGGATGCTGCCTATAAAGGTGCGCCACTTGCCCACCTGCTGCTGACTTGCCCGTTTCTTCACTCTTCGGCTTCCATAATTCTTTTTGCATATATATTTAGACACAATTATTAGTCGGCTAGATGCTCATAATTTTATTTGTGTAGTGTGCATGTCTCCCGTGGGTGCAGATTTCTTGCATTGCAGCAGGGTGCATTTCCACCTGTAGTGGTTGATGTTGTCGAGTCTCTTTTATTGGCAACAAGGCTTATAAATTTGACTAACATTTTTCTCAGTTTTAAGAAGAAAAAACCCTTATTTGAGTAGTAGCATGAAGGGAATCCAGTTAATGTAAGAGACGTTACTCTTTAAGTTAACTGATAACCGGCTATATACTATTGCAAAATGACTTTTTTTCATGAAGAAAACACTATTGAGAAATGTTAAGCTAGCTATTTAGTGTGGGTTCAACACGATAACTCCCAACTAGCAAACGAGTCCGGGGTCGCCGGCTCCTATCATAGATAAACACTAGCAAAAAAGCCCGTGTGTTGCAACTGGAAAAAATCACATGTCCCTAACACAATAATCACGACTGAAGATCTCAATGGGTCCACGTGCATCCCATCTATGTTGCCGCCTATCCTTCTTCCCACTCTTGTCGACGGTGGCCTCGGTGCTCACACAATCACAACAAGTTTGAATGCGGTCAATTCTAAGGTGTCTTTCTTTCTCTCCACATAAAATGAGAAATCTACTTTTTCACGAGGAGTTTTTGCCGAGGCGTGCATGCGTGATTATAGATGATTTCTTTCTTCTCCAAAATGATTTTGCCGAGGTGTTGATTTCTAATCCGGATCTACACCGGTACGAGAGAAAGATGAATCATGCACTATTGATTAAGGTTCTCCCCTAAATAGTATTTAAAAATGTTTAACATGTAAAATAGCATCATATTTAGATTCTACATTTTTTAATAAATTTTCATATATAACATATCAAAATTGGAGTTATAATTTAGAAGATATGAATATTTTAAAGAAGCATTTGAATCGCATTTTTAAAATATTTAATAGATAAAAATAGCATCATATTTAGATTGTATATATTTTTCTAATCAATTTCTATATAACATGCCTAAATTAGAGTTGTGACTTAAAAAATATGGATATTTTTTAAAAAATCATTTATATCTGCTCAAAAAATAATAGATGGATGGCGGGTTGATTTACCAAAAGATCAGGGGGTTTCCCAAAAAAGTGAGTCATTTTTCTTTGACTTAAGATAGGACCGCGGGTTGATTAACTAAAAGATCGGGGGGGTGAAAAAAGGAAAAAAAGCCGTTTTTATCACTTAACATAGTACCGCGGGTTGATTTGGAAGAAGTGCAGGAGGTTTCTGCAGAAGTGACGACGGACGGGCAGAAGCTCTCCTCCCTTTATTATTAGGTAGAGACTAGATGATGCCCCGCGTGTTGCTGCAACGATCTCTTGCAATATTATTTTTTGATGAAATTTAAATATATATGATACTTCGTATTTGATCAGTATATAGTTGTGAATATAATAAATATAAGTAGTATTTTCCATGCATATTGAGAGAAATATAATTAGTTTGATAGATGAGGTGGCATGTGTGAAGAGTTAATATGTGTGCATGTAGAGAGAATATAAATAGCATTTCTCATGCATTTTAAGAGAAACAATTAATGGGATAATGATGTGGTAAGTTTGACGAGGCGGCGTGTGTGCATGTTGAGAGAATTGAGATAGTGTGGATCAACTATTTAGGTATATATAGGATTTGCCATTCTTCCACAAATAAAAAAAATTATTCATACGTGGGCATGATTGATCTTGTACAGATTTAAAGTTTCATACAAACTTGTGTACTTGTGGTCTATGCAAAGATAACGAAAAAACTAATTGAAGATGCATTTTTAGCTTTCAATTCTAGTTTAGTTCTTTGCACACTTCAAATCTGTAGATTTTTCACGGAACTTTTCAGATGCATGGTTCATTATATTCTCTATATCCAAGATTTCTTTGGTATTTATTGTATATTTGGACTCATTTTTTGAAAATTATAGGAGCTTATGTGCTCGGATACAATTAGTCTTTCTTGATTTCAACTCTATGTTTATACTCTTTGTATTACTGTAACCTATATATCGCCTTATCGTTAGAAAAACTGCTCAGTCGATTAATGCAAATGAAGTTGATTTTCACTCTAATAAAGGGTGAATTTTATTGACTCAAAATAAAGCATCAAATGGCTAGAAACACAATAAGCACATGTCCGATCTCCGCATAGGTGGTAACATCACACTTTTCTAGACAAAATAGATGATGTGGCATGTAATTAATGAAAAAAAAGAGGCATGTGGTAACATAGTTAGTTACTGTAACATCACACATATCAAAAAAAGATGAGTCTACAACCTAATAAATAAAATGATGCATGACACAACACATATGTTACTACGCACTATGGAGGTGGTAACATAGAGTAGTAACATACTCCTCCGTCCGGTGAAGAGTGTACATCTAGAAATTTTAGAACAAATTATGGAGTTGAGTAAAAAAATGCATTGGAAAGGTGCAAGCCACTATCTCTCTTCTCTTTAATTACCCACCCTCCAATTAGCTAAGTGCATGTAGAAAGAGATAAATACACTGGTGGTGCTTCAACTTGTCCTGCACGGTCAGTTTAGTGCATAAAGTTGCAAAATACGTGAAACTGGTGCTCGAACTTGTCAGACCGTGCAAATACGGTGCCTCCATTCGTATCCAGACGTACATCCAGCCCGTGTGGCGTGCCAACGTGGCGGTGGCCCAACTGTCGGTGTCTAAGAGGCGCTGGGTGGCCCGCATGTGGGGATTTTTTTACACTCCCCCCCTCACGTTTTATTTAATCGATAAAAAAGCCATCAAAAACACTGTATGCTAGCGATAAATAACATGAAAAACATATTCCATGGAGGGGTATCAAACCTGTCACGTCATGTTCAAGAACGGCATGATTTGGCCAGCCGACCGGAGTATGCTTTGAATTAAACTCTTAGCTACAAAGCTGTGTAAATACAATCTATGTATCACTGTGCAATTTTCTTCTTTTTATTTTTCCAAGTTCCTGTTTAGTCTCATAACACATAAAATTTCCCATATGAAAAATACAATTATCAATATACAAATATTTTATATTTTAAATCTTTTTCCATTTTCATTATTGTGTACTTCAAAGAGGTTGACGTGAACTTAATTTATGTGGATTTAAATATTTTAACTGATATTAGAAAGTATTGTCTAAATTTATGAATCTTCATTCGGGACAAACAAACACACACAATTATTGTTTATCTTCATTATATTTCTAAAATACCCAATTAGTAACAAATTGACGACATTGTATTTTGTAAACTATTCTACTGTATTGAAAAATTATTGTGGAATAATATTAAATTCTAGTATCAAACATGTAAACTGTGTTTGTAGAAATGTAAGGATAATTTACACAATAATTTTTTAACTCACGTTGAACTCTTTAAAAATGCATGTTGTAAACTTTTTTAACGCACGCCGAACATTTTTCAGAAATGCATTATAACTTTTTAATACGTGTGAAACATTTTCCAAAAACATGTTGAACATTTTTCAAATGCACTAACACTTTCTTTAAGTTTATGGCAGTTGTATTTTGTTCCTACATTTCTTTTCCAAATGGTAAATATAATACGAAAAATAAAAATAAAGAACCTGGAAATTAAGTCTGCAGACCCATACGAGCGCCAACATTAGTAGCAACTGAGCATGTTTGAGAGGTGCATAGCAACCAGAGAGGAATTTTTGAACATGGTGGCCACTGAGCACGTTTTTTCTTGAAAGTTTAAAAACTGGCTAAAAGTTTCATAATTTTTTTAAAAATTTCACACTAAAATGTATGCATGTGCTCTAAGTGACTTTCAAGTTTTGTTTGAAATTTTGTTATATTATACCCTGCAAAAAAAGTCGAAAATCCTGTCAAAAAATTAGCTGTTTTTTGCATGTATTTGTCTTTTTTGTATCTCTCACATACAAATACAGATTTGAAAAAAAAACACAGATATATTACACTTCTATGTGTGCATGTACAAAAAATGTCAGAAGCTTTTTAGCTGTAAAAATCCGTTTCTTCAACCTTCGAAAAAATGGGCACAATGTGCCGGTGCTCCAAAATTACATTTTACATAGCAACGCAATATATAAAGTTTGACCTAGTCTATATCTACTAAGCACAGTATGCCCTGATGGACAGCCTATGCGTGCAATATAATCCATAAATTTATGGGGCTTTTCTATGTGATTAAATATAATTTGAGTTTTACTTTAAATATCCTCATGTTCGGGTCACCCAGCGACTTCCACACTCCCGGCCACCGACAACTCGGCCACCACCACGTTGACACGCCACACGGCTGGGGGTACGTCTGGATACGAATGGAGGCACCGTATTTGCACGGCCGGACAAGTTCAAGCACCTATTTTATGTATTTTGCAACTTTAGACACTAAACTGATCGCGCATGACAAGTTGAGGCACCCCCAACGTATTTAACTCACGTAGAAATTAAGAAGATCATGTGTAGATTGCTATTGGTCTTGATTACCGTGTGATGAGAGAGAAGTATTTTTTTTCTACTTTAAAGTGCATTGGGAAGATAGAAGTACACTCTTTTGTGGACGAATTTTAAACCTAGATGTATACTCTTCATCGGATGGAGGGAATATGTATGTTACTACTCTAAGTTACTCCTCACTATGACTAGTCTAAAATGC